ATAAAGGTCCCAGCCACATGGGTGTCGAACCAAGAACCCATACCCATATATCCATCCCCCCACCTCTTTCATTCCTTCCATCATCATGGTCAACATCCTCTCATACCCCCTAATTCGCTTACTCTCACATCATCTAACGCCGCCACCATGACCACAGAGAGCAACTTCGACCGTACCACGTCCATCAATCACGACCAATGCAAACAGAAAGGAAAAAAATAGTGTTAGAACCGCCAGCATCGCCTCTCTCTCAACAAGATACCGTACAAATGAGTCTATCATCATGCAAACTTCATCTTCGTCCCCGCCCCCTTTCTGTGACACCCACATAATCAAAATGACCCCAGTTATTATTGGAGAAAAAATCAGAGAGAGTATCAACATCCTTCGCAAAGTGACGTGGTGATCCATGCGAGCCCCCACTATGCTAAGCACCTTCCCCTTCCGACAAGGATCTTCGAACAATTACTCCGCACCAAATGTTGGCAACAAAAAGCCCTATACGGATGCTCCTCAATAGATGCTATGAAGGTCAGTTATCCCAGGAGAATCAAGATGACGACTACGATCCCAAGCACAAAGACTGCAGACTCCATCAATGTAAGTGGTGGTTGCACAAAACTCTTCACGTCCACTCAACTACGGCCACGAGCTCCTACAAATCATCCATAATCAACAAGAGCAAACATGTATGGAGGCAAGGAGGTTAGGCAACATCAAGCATCCATATGGAGAAGGGGAAAAGGGAAAGGAAGAGGAAGAAAAGGAATGAGAAGAAGAATGTCCCAATTCGGTCAAGCGGCTCCACCGACGTAACAGCAGGGGGTGGTAGGAAGTCCCAAATGCCTTTTTGCCAATTCCTACCTGGATTGGCTCATCAGGGGGAAAGGAGCCCCTCCATTTTTATTCCGAAAGGGACGAAGCTCTTACCAGCCTATTTAGAGGTATGGAGAAGGGGGGGAAAGAGAGAGAGAGAAAGCGAAGGGGAGGACGAGGGAAGAACGGATCGAGAGCATAGTACCGAGGAGCGTGATGCCGAAGCCATCGTAGCCCCGCTCATGGTGCAAACAAGCAACACCGCTCGAAATCGGAATTCCCTGTGGAGGTTTCAAGCCAAGGCAGGAGAGGGTGAGACAGGGAGGGGAGAGAGAGAGAGTGAAAGAGGTAGAAAGGGGGAGATTGAGATATGGGGATGAGAGACTATGTCAGGAGAACTCCGAGCATGGACGCTTCTTCCGCGTTCCAGGGAGCAGCGTTCTGATAGCGGAAGGGCTGCCGTCGAGAGCGCTCACCCCCAAAGACGCAACGATTGAGGACTGATCAAACCGTCATCAATCGATTAAATACTATCTGATCGTGTGAAGAAAACCAGGTCTGTTAGACCAGCCTCGGAGCATCCGGGTTTACCCATATTAGGGCCTCCGAATGAAATAGCTTAAATAGGAGAGCCTCGTGAGGAGGCCTTGATTCTGGCTCTAGAAGTCCATTTCATATTGAAGGGGGAAATTCCGCATATACTTTGTGCGTGAACGCGCGTGCTCCCGACCGAATCTTCCCTCACGCTTCCGGCATAAGAGGTGGCCTCCTTTCTGTACTACGGGCCCAATTATGCATTATCAGGTAGAAGACCCATAACCTTATTGCCAAGTACCGGACTTATTACTATATGTTGGGAGTATCCTAGTCATACTATCGATTGATGAGCCTGGTTGTCCATCTTATGCAGACGAATCTACCAGATTCATTCAATCGTTAAAAACCTTTTTCTTATTTCATTTCCACCATCATTATTTCTTATTTTTTTGCTTTTTTATACATATATATAATTTCTTTTATTATTATTTCCTTATATTTTTTTACTTTCCTCAATCCTTTGTTATTATTATTACTATTTTCTTTAAAAAAAATAAATAAATCTAATAAGGAGAACCTCCTGTGGACATGTGTGTGTGTGTGTGTGTGTGTGTGTGTGTGTATGTGTGTGTGTGAGAGAGAGAGAGAGAGAGAGAGAGAGAGAGAGAGAGAGAGAGAGAGAG